ATTTAATCTCTGGCAGGAAAATCGACCGTAAGTGGGGCTGAACATACCTATAAGCAATACACAAACATTGTAAGATGAAAATATTTAAACATTCCGTTTGGACAATTAAAGGAAGTGTTATGTACCTTATCAGGGTAGTCTTCATCAACATAATGCATGTCATATTGTTCTTGATCGTCGTGTTTATCCACTGATGGTGTTTGCAGAGCTTCATCAGCAACCTTACTATACACAGTTATGACTTACTGATTAAATTTATTTACTTCATCTGTACGCACAATATCAATATGTTAAATAAAAAATATTATTAGTTCAGTTAGTAAGGAAGAACTTCAACCTCTTCATGCTCTTCAACGACTTCCTGACTTGGTTTTAGCTTCTTCCGTTCAAATACTAAAAATGGGGAACTGAGAATCCTTTTTATTCTCTCCTTTCTTGCATTAATTCTATGAATTAGGCTCCCTAGCGGGGACTGTTGCACCCATTTTGTTGCACCCATTTTAACGGGTTGTTTTAGAGGTTTATTTATTTCTTTAACTTCTGATTTTAAATCTTTTAAATCTGTCATTGTACTCTCCAGCTTTGTAAGATGATTATGTACTGAGATTTGAAATTCCACGAACAGTTTATGATGCTCTTTGAGTAATTCATGGATTTCTTCAAATCCAGTACTAGAGGTAGTATGTTGATGCTTCTCGTCATGTGGTGGAGGACTGGTACGATAAGAAACTATAGCCTCAGCAGTACCAATGAATGTGGGCGATTGTGGTTGGGATATGACGTTCTTTTGTGTGAGATATTTCTCAGGACTGAATGGTTCTTGTAATGGAGAGCCAAGGAGATGATGCTCGCTATCTAAAATTTTAAGAAAATAATCAAAAACCTGCAAGACATTACATAGAGTCAAAATCAATGAAAGTATCACGTGAACAAAATAAATTCTATGGAATAAAAAACTAAATTGCTGATATCGGCAGATTTAATCCTCTCAAAGGCTACCTGAATCTTCAGAGTATTCCACATAACATTTGACCACCTCAGCATTCTTGGTCTAGCTTGAGGCAATGCTGGGAGGACCAAGGAAGTGTGCTCATAAAACCAGATCTGCGTTAAACATGATGAATTATTTTAAAATTGATCACTTTGGGAAATTTCAAAATGTATTGGTGGATCACAAACCGATAGAAGAAATACAAAACCATTGATGTAACCCAATGGTTGTTTTTTTTTAATTTTAGTTACACAAACATTAAG